TCGTTGGATGCTTTTGAGATTTTGATTTTGCCATTGATAAGGGACTGTCTGTTTTGAATTTTCCTAGGAGTTCGGTATTTTTGTTTTTGTTAAACAATAGAATACAATGCTAAACATGTATATGGTACATAGGTCAGTGTACTGGTAAAAAAATATCACCATGCTGTGTGTAAATACATGAGCACTACTCACAGTAAATGTATTCCATATCCTGATAAGATAAAAAAAATATCCACTAGTCTGGGGACTATTATTGAATCTTGTCTCAATTCAAAAAAATGTATAACTACAATTAAAATATGTAGTTTAAGAGTTCTGTATTTTTAAATACCAAATTTATCTATCTATGACTTTTAATGTATTCTTATAATATTTATAAGTACTAGATTGTTTTATATGAAAAGGTTTGATAAGACTCTGTGTTATAATTTTATGATTCAATTTTTACTCTTGCATACTCCTAATATTCCTCCATTCAAAACATACTTTCAATCCCTTCACAAAGTATTAAAATGACATACTATTAATTTGTTAATTAGATTTAGGGTTAAAATAACTGAGCTGAATATAAGAATATTAAAAATCCAAGAATATAAATTAATATCAATATAACTAATGAGTTATACAAGCAGTTAATTAATTAATTAATACTGCATTCCAATATATCTTCAGTCTAAATCTACCAAAAGCAAAGAGAGCTTATAGTAAGGCCTATGACTAAAAGATTGACCAATCAAAATCATAGAATTTTCTCTCATAAATGATATAAACTAAAAGAGAAATGGAAAAGAGAATATCACATTGAATATATCAATCAAATATGACTCTGCCCCAATCCCTCTTGATTTGAAATTATGTCCAAGTCATGTATAAGAGGGAACTAAACATGTAAATATAGAAATATTAATGACATGAAAGATATTTTTTAATAAATTTAAAAATAAAATACTAATTGCTAGTAATGACTGCGAGTAGTACCTCGCTTACTTGTCTCTCTAATCCTGGAAATAAACCATTTCGCAAGCAATCATATTTTTTCCCACTATTGCTGTATAGGAACAGCAACCTTGTGAACAAACTCATCTTAGCCCATCCATTCTAGTTCAAGACAAATAAGTGTTGAACGTCTATGCACACATGTCATAATTGGTTCCGGTTGTGTCTTTATCTTATTCTTCTGATCTCCGGACGCGCTTCCAACGGTTTCCTGAACATCAGATCATCAATCAGATATGACTCTGCCACTTTTATGATGTTTTTCAATTTGATCGTGAGATAATTTGACTACCGCATATATTGCAAATTTTGATATTTCATGTCGACATTATAAATCAATTTACAATTTTATTCGTAACAGAACTTTTCTTCTTAAAGAGTTTTAATAATCTCATTGGATAAGATAGATAAATAAAGGCAACAGTAGTTTACCGCTGTTCCAAAGTCATAAATCGTTAAGAGAAAATAAAAACTGTTTAAACGTTGTTGTCATTTTAGAGGTATTTTTAACATTGCCATATAAGCGGGGGGGTTCTAGCCATGAAACCAGGTTGACCCACCATTTTTTTCTGAAAATGTCCTGTACCAAGTCAGGAACATGGCAGTTGTTATCAAATAGTCCGTTTAAGTTTGTAACCCGAATTTGACTAATAAAACTAAACATTGAAAAAAATCGTGGGATAGTTTTTAAAGAAATGATTAGTTTAGGTCCCTATTGCATAACTATGCCCTGACATTTATGTCTATTATATGCGTTCTTACTTGTATTTCATGCATATTTAGTTTGTGAAATCTCCGAATATATGAAATTTATAGATAACTTCCGATTTTCGTATGCAGTTTTCCATTCCCTAGTTGCATTTAAACTTTAAAACAGAATCCCTGAGATCGCCATTGACACTTCTATTTTATTTATAATTTTTCATTGTATAAATCTCTTTTAAAATTTAAGTTTGAATCATATTTGATGTTTTGGATTTGTTTTCTCTCAATCGATTTATGACTTTGAACAGCGGTATACTACTGTTGCCTTTATTTATATAAGTTAAAGTTTCCGTAAGGGTGTGCTAAATGTCATGAAAACTCATCACAGATATCAGGCTTTTAATTAAAATTTGTCAAACGCGAATACAATCGACACACGACTACTTAGTAGGGCTAAAATTTAAGAGACGAAAAGATGAGTTAATGGGCATCGACAAACCAAAAATTCAAGAAGTGGTGCCAAATCTGGTTAATGCAATCTATGCCTGGTGGTTATTAAAGAGGGTCTGGATGGGGTGCTTCATTTCTGTTTTCTTTTGCTGGGGGTACTTAAACCGTCGTGCTTTAATATACCACATATTATTAAGAAAACTTAAGAAGTTGTTAAAAAACGCACTTTTGTATATCATTTAAAAGTTGATATGCCAAAAATGCGGGAATGAGATACGAAGAACGATGCATTACAGTATTCCAGTATTGCAGAAAATTATAGGAAACCATTACCTGGTATCAGTTTAACTGCACCAGAAGAAAATGTCGAAAATTGATTTATCTTCAAATAAGTCAAATGCAGGAACCGATAATTTTAAATGTATATAAAGTGCTGAGAACGCGTACATGTTATATAAATATGATCAAAATATGGTGTGAGTTTGTTTATTCTACATTGGCTAGAAGTATAGGGGGAGTGTTGAGATCTCACAAAACATGTTTAACCCCGCCGCATTTTTGCGCCTGTCCCAAGTCAGGAGCCTCTGGCCTTTGTTAATCTTTTATGTTTTTTTTTAATTTTAGTTCATTTATATGTTTCGGAGTTTAGTGTGACGTCCATTTTCATTGAACTAGTACATATTTTTGTTTAGGGGCCAGCTGAATGCCGCCTCCGAGTGCGGGATTTTTTCGCTGTTTTGAAGACCCATTTGTGGCCTTGGGCTGTTTTCTGCTCTTTGGTCAGGTTGTTGTCTCTTTGACACATTCCAAATTTCCATTCTCAATTTTATGTAAATAAAATGTTGATTTTCACGGGAATGGACCTTCCAACTGTTTTCGAACGACACTGATGAGTCCTATGTAGACGAAACGCACGTTTGACGTATCAAATTATTAGCCTAGTTTCTTGGACGAGTTTTTACAACCACTTGGTCGATGACGCTGCTGATGGTGAACGTTTTCATTTCTGATCATAGTACCAGTCCAGTTTAATCCTTTTTTTTCGACATTGGATATCATTGATATGTTCGTTTTCTGCTAATATATTATTTATAAAATGTTGAATTATTCGAAACATTAAGTTGTTTTTATTTCTACCCCAGGGATATATTGCCTTAGTCTGATGCTCTTTAATTTATGACATTAGCCGTATTTTTCAACAGACGGTTGGCATTACTATGGGAACTTACTACGCTATTCTGCATGCCGACTTGTTTCTTTATTGTTAGGATGTTGTCGTATCAGAGCTTCTCAAGGAAAATGTAAAGCTGTGTTATCTTTTGAAATCACGTTACGTTATAAAGACCAATAACTGGTGACAAACTTGACTGCATCTATCCAAATGCACATGATATACATGTAGAGGATGTAACAGATATGGTTTATTTTGCATCATAATCTCTCTTGCATCTAGCAATTGACAATGAGGCTTTGATTTCCCCTTTGAACTTAACCTTTCTATGTAGCTATTGCATCAATGGTTTCAAATGGTAAAGTTAAAGTCATCCTTTCCAAAGTTTTACGGACGCAATTATTATTTGGTTGAACGTTATGGATAATGTGTGTTTCGGAAGACCACGGATTTATTTCGCTTGTCGTTACCATGTTTTCGTCCTCTTGTCCTCCATTGTAACAACACCGAATGCAAATGTTCAGTGTATTTTTACTTGGAACGAGTAACACGACACGAATCACTAGTAGAGTAGGAACTGCTTATCCTTCCGGAGCACCTTAGTTCATCCCCGGTTTTTGGTGGGGTTCGTTTTCCTCAATCTTTAGTTTTCTGTGTAATGTTTTGTTATTGTTGTATGTCTGTTGGTAGCTTTTTTTTCATTGTATTGTCTGTGTTTTATCTTATATTTTTTGTATTGCCCACTTGATATCTTATCACACTTTTTCTAGATATGATTTGAAAATAATCAACTTATCTATTTATCATTACGATGAAATAAATATCAAAAACATTCACAGCATTTAAATCTTGTCGTACATAACACCATACTTCTTACAAGGAAATGAAAATTGCAGCATTTTGAGATCTTCCCACGTGTGTATACCCCTAGAGAAACAACAATATTCGACTTTGTGAATATTTAACCGAAAATGCGGGCCATTATTGTAAAAGAGAGGCGAAGGAAATTAAAGGGACATACAAACTCATAAGACGAAAATAAACTGATAACACCATGGCTAAAAAAAGACAAACAGACAAATAACAGTACACAAAACACAAAACACAACATAGAAAACCAAAGACTGAGCAACACGAACCCCACCAAAAACTTGGGGTTATCTTAGGTGCGCCGGAAGGGTAAGTAGATCCTGCTCGACATGTGACACCCGTCTTTTTTCTCATGTTAGTACAAACCCGGTGATAAGTCTAATGCGGTAGGTCACATTCGGAGAAAAGGGGACGGGATTGTGGTTACGATAATTGGAACATATCCGTTGTCATCTGTGAAACGGATATTTCATAACGTTCAACCAACTCTTGATGGTGTCCGTAAAATATACGATGGAAAGATTTCAACTTCACCACTTGGAACTTTTGGTTTAATGGCTTCCTTGTGAGCAGAACATCCTCTGTCAAGGAAATCTTGATATGAAATACAACCCCTGGAATATCGTATCAAGTATGTAAGTGCAATGACATGGATTTTATAGAGAAAATTAAAAAAAAACTATAAGTATAATAGAATACAAAACTTTTTAACTGAAAGAAAAACACAGACAAACGTTGATATATTACAGAAAACGAGTAATATAATCACCCTTGGTATTCCATACTTTATTCAGATGTGTATTTATCATTTACTTGGGATCGGTATCCATTTTATCTTTGATAAAATTTTACCTGTTTATTATTTCATCACATTTGTATCGGGTATGTTAATGTAATATGTTAGTTAAACTATTTTACTGTATGATCAGTATAAACAAAACACTCTTTTGTCTTTTTCACTTTCTTTTCCCTTTTTCTGTAAGTAACGTTTATAATTAACAGATTAAACTGAAATAATTGTTTGCTCAAATACCGAGATCAAAAAATATTTCAGTTTTTCTTTCAATGGATGATCAATGTCTAACACGTCAAGTAATAAACACTTCGAAGCAACTCATTCCTTGGAAGTAAAGTGGAACGACCTACGAACAGAAAAGATGACCCAATAATTAGGAGTATTAAGAAAGTTAATTAATAAATTACCAAGGCATTGCATGATTAGATCGCAGAAATTGAATGTAACCTTCAGATTCAGCCAAAACTTTCAATAATGGGGTAGACCTGGGTATGGAAAACAACTCTTCTAAAGGTATTGGAAGTAATTTGTGCGTTTTACCTAGCAGTAATTCAAACAGTGATCAAGCATTTATGTTGTTTACACTTGGTTATGAGAATAATACAGGAGCATCTCAGAAAATTGGACAAGTTTGACTCAACCATGCAAGCATAAAATTAAGAAATTACATTTTTTCAAGATTTAATAATCATAGCAGAAAGTTTGAAAACTAACATTCATACATGAAATGCTTTTGAGAAAACACCCATGTACTGAGGAGTTGTAGGAATGACTATTTGCATCATTTAGATAAAACCTTGAAAAGTTTGGGAAAAATTGAAATGGATAAAACTGGATTGATATTGAAGTTATAAGGTTTTCATACTAAACTGATTGATAGGCAGTACTTAACTGTAAGTCTTTGGTTTTCAAATACAAATGGAAATATTCTAGATGATATGATCTGAACATCCATCCTAGAACAATCTAATGCTAACAGATAATCTACATTAGCACAAATATAGGACTTAGATAGTGACAGACTGTCAAAACATTCAATTTAGCGTCTGCTCGTCTGATGACAGGGACATTTTGTAGTCTTGGGGAGTGAAACAAACATTGCGTACTATTTCATTGTAGGTATGTTAATTCGGTAATCGTCCCATACTGATTTTTCTTATAAACTTGACAACGGGTATTTTTGGATCCAAGCCATTTTCACTTAAACACACAATGATAATGCAAAATGAGACTGTAGAAGGTTTTTTAGGGGTAAAAATGAATTCTGTTCAAAAAATTTCTTTTTTTTTCTTCTGTCTGTAAGCCAAATTAATTGAAAATTTTGTAAATTTCAAACGATCAAATTTTTTTTATCTAGGTTAATAAACAATAATTGTTTCACCAATTTTCTGCAAGAATTAAACGATAAATTTTGTTTCTGGCAAATTTTTGAAAAGATAATATGTTATCGGAGCTGGTCAGAATTTTAGAGCTATTCAATAGTTTTAAACCATTTATTTACATTTAGGCTACAAATATAATTCAAAATATGTTTCTTGTACACATTTTAACAGTCATGAAAATTCTTAATGAGAAAATGTGCAAAAACACACAATAATATACCGGTATGCCTACTAGTGTTTTCGACCGTTTTTTAGGGTACCCCAAAATTGGTCATATTCAATATACCATACACATAAATTGCAACGGTAAATTTCGTTCAGATGTTAGCAGATGATAAATAGACCCCTTCCCTTTCAATGATGTAAATATAAAAAAATTTAACGAAGAGAAAATGTTGGGTTTGCCAAGTCCTACCCCCTTAAATGAAATATAATACAAAGTCCAACTTGTGTAAATAGTTGGTGCTCCTCTTGGGGATGCATTGCGTTTCTTTTTTTATTGCAATAAAACACCGATATTAGGATCTATCTACTAACTAAAATTCATCGTTTTCATGTGGCAACTGCTGAGGGAAGTTAAAATATACCATAGTTACGAGGAAAACTTTGAAAATCTGTAAAGGAAATCTTTATATTCATAAAAAAAATCTTGTAGTCTTATCAAACAAGATACAAGCAAACATAATCAACGTGTCCTCATAACTTTTTTTTTATTTCATTTAATCATTTTCCTATTTATTACTTATGTTATTTCACATTGTGAAATTGTCTCTATTTACATATACCTGAAGGTAGATCTACTGAACTGATTATGTATCTTGTAGTTATTGCAATTGTTATATTTTGGAATAAATAATAAAAGATCATCTTTATTCATATTATTGTGAGCATATATAATAGTTATAAATTAAAAACCAATTAGGTTTTCCGGATTAAATTATTTTACACTAGTCATTTTTGGGGCCTTTATGACTTTCTGTTTGGTGTGAGCCAAGGCTATGTGTTGAAGGCCGTACTTTGACCTATAATTGTTTACTTTTTTCACATAGTGACTTGGATGGAGAGTTGTCTCATTGGCACTCATACCACATCTTCTTATTTCTAGGAAAATAGTTTATAGAGTATTTTGCAATAGGAATATTGTTCAAGATTAATACCATTTATTTTTAGAATGAAACGGAAAAAATATATCAAAATGTTCTTGGCAAGAACCATCAAATTTTAAACTCATACAGTTGTCATCAGTTCATTATGAGAAAGAACTTAGCAATTTAGGACTTTATTTTTTAATGCCGAAAAAATAAGAAATATGTAATTGCTATCCCTTACTTATCATATGATTATTGTCATTCTCCGCCATATGTTATATACTATATCGATTGCTATTATTAGGACACTGATGCATCACATGTATAAACTACATACCATTTATAAATATTTCCGTTTCGGATCGTTAATCTAAATGAAAAGTTTGTACTAGAATATCATGTTGTTTTATTCTTCAAGTGTATCTATGTATTACAAATATATGCGCCATATAATAAAAACATACCATATATATAATAGAATATGAAACAGTGTGATTACATTTCTGAACACCAATAATACAGTCGCCTTTGGTGAGCCATACTTTAGTCAGGTGTGTATTGATCAATGACCTTTTTATCTATTCTATACATGTACTATTTTATACTGGTATGTTAATTTTTCTACTTTAAAGTCACGGTGTGTACTCTAGAAGCTATAGACTGACTCAGTTTTATCCTTTGCCGTTATTTCATTGTTAATAATATTTCATATCTAACAAATTTAATTATTTTCAGTATACATTTAAGACAAATAAAAGATCTTTCATGTATGTTATTTGTCAAGCAACCGAAGAATTTAATGGAGAAACAAGTTTCTATTTTAACTCTCGCTCTCGCATGAATAAAACCTATTAGGTTAGTAGTCATGGGATGAACATTATCGGTACATCAGGCAAACTGCTTCCAAATCCAATATCTGCTCAATTAGATGATCTTTCAAAACTCTGTCGCTACAGCTGAAATACATAACACGTCAGACACTGTTGAATCAACAACAGGCCATACCAGGAACTCTTCAGATATATGTAATCAGAACATTTTAGTGCACTTCCCAGATGAGTATGCAATTCATTCCTTAACTTTTCTGGCCTCGTTCATTTTGGACGTAAAAAAGCTGCCCAATATTATCAAACGGGCATGGACAAAACCGTTTCGCCGGAACATGGAATGCGATATTTTCTACAACAGAGAGAAATCAAAGTGACATTTCTGACATATTTTGACAAGGGATCACTTAAAACAGCTTCGGCTCAACTTAATATCGATGTACTTCATGAAGATATTGTACATGACTTCACGTTTTGACCGAAATGAATCTTTACTACATATTGGAAAGCTTGAGCTTCATTTATTAACGACAAGAGAGAACAAATTGTCACTCAATTAAGGAACTGAACCTTGATTGTTTGAACTGTCTTGGAATAACATCTGGTGTTCCTTATCGTATTGACTTTTTGAAAACAAATGGAATTTTCTTCGCTTTTGTCAGATGATGTTTTATATATGTTTGATTTGATGAATTATATAGGTTACGGAAATGGCACTGATGATAATTGTCACCAATTATTCAATTTTGATATAAGAGGAGGCGTCGCCTTTCTGGTATTTAAAAAATTACCGCATTTTGTTGAATTTCTGGACATTCCGAGTAATAGAATAATGGGAATTGAACATATCCGAACACATCAAACATATATCATCATATCTGTTTACTTACCAGCCATTACACAAAGTTATGAACTATTTTCGACCATGGGAACTGTTGTCATTATGGAGACCATACTGATCAAAGGCGTATATCATGGACTAAAGCTGTAAAGAATAAAATTATAGCTGATTATTCCTTTGCAGTTTCACAATTTGTATGGGACATACAAACATCAACTGCTACTCTAGCTAATATTGTAAATACAACAGCGAAATACTGAATGCTATTTTATGAGATGACACTGCAACTCATATGTAAACAATATGAAAAACATTTAAACCTTATTGGACAGAAGATGTTTTATTTAATCGTTTACCATCGCTTCACTAAAACTTTCCACATCTAACATAAGTTGCATACCAGAAGACATTATCTAGTACACATGTGAGTTTCAACATGCAAGAATTTGGAGCGACATAGTAATATCATTGTCACACTTTTTGACAGCATGAAAGGATTTGATACGTTGTGTCACAAAGAACTATTATTCAAGTTGTTTATATACAAGGTTAAACGTGGCTGTTGATCCATGAAATGTATCAGAACATGCGTAGCTGTGTACAGTTTCAAGGAATTTGTTCAAAATGGTTTGAACTCAAAAGAGGCGTTAAACAATGTGGAGTACTGTCTGCTGTTTTTATTTAATTTTCATTAATGATCTCTGCTGCTTTTATTTAGTTTTCATTAATGACCTTCTTTGGCAATTTATTGGAAGTCCTTATGCACCCATCTTTCCTGAATCCATTAACGTGCTCAAAGATAGTATTGAAGATGACTTTGTTATCCATAGGCAATATTTGCTTGTAACCTTTGGTATAGACTATCAAATACTACAATAACAATGATAGAACGTTCTCACCAATATATTTATAGAATTATTCAAGGACTTCCTAATACGAACACGATCTGACAAGTGCACAAAAGTACTTGATTTGCTTCCTGTATGTGCTATCTACCAATGGAACAGATACCTTAGCTGTATTGGGCAAAACTTTTCTGAATTTTTGGGTCCTCAATTATCTGCAACTTCGATCTTCATTTGGACTTTTAACTTTATTATGCCCCACCTAGGGGCATTATGTTTTTCGGTCTGTGCGTCTTTTCGTTCGTCCGCTTGTCAGTCCCGCTTCAGGTTAAGGTTTTTGGTTAAAGTTTTTGGCCAAGGTAGTTTTTGATGAAGTTGACGTCCAATCAACTTGAAACTTAGTACACGTGTTCCCTATGATATGATCTTTCTAAATTTAATGCCAAATTAGAGTTTGGACCCCAATTTCACGGTCCACTGAACATAGAATATGATAGTGCGAGTGGGGCATCCGTGTTATATGGACACATTCCTGTTTATTCTAACGTCACTGATGAGTCTTTTGTAGACGAAACGCGCAGCAGGCGTACAAAATTACAAGCCTGGTATCTTATACAAAACTATAAGTCTGGTATCTTTGATGAGTTTTATGTAGCATGGACAATAACTTACTACCAAAACGTAATATATTATTACGAATTTAGAAACAAATGTGCTAAAAAGCAAGATTGTTTTGTGCCAGATTTATTCAGAATAGCCGAGAAGTATGATTTGATCAACTTTGACGAAGTCCTTGTGAAATCAGGCAGTTTCCCAAATAAGGCTGTATGGAACAGATACATTTCCGCTTTCATTGCGAATTGTGGTAAAAACAGATAGCAGCAAAGAATATCATGTGACAGCGACTTTGACATTTTCCGTAAAATTCTCAAACACATTATACCGAACAGAGCTTGGGTTATTGCTGAAAGTTATCCCAATTTAAGAGGAGACAAATTAGTGTTGGCCTATGTTCCGTCAATCGTACAGAAGAGTCGCCTCTCTTATTCTATACATGAGGAATGCTTTCCTATAATGTTGTTGAATATATCATTTGTATGTGCGATCGTCTATCAGAATTAAGAGTGAAGCTTTGAACTTAGACTAAACCCATCTAATAAACTTTAAATGATTTTTTGATTGTCATTGTGCCATAGGCCGAATCTAAAGGACTATGGGTAATTTTTATTGTTAGTACCCCAAAATGAGAATACCCCGTCACGTCATTGGTTGAATTTCAATTATTTAGGACGTTTTAAAATAATCAAGACGCTTTTTGTGTACACTTTTGAAAATATTACCCAGAATGCATTAGATTCTGAAACGGCGAATTGGACTGCTGTTTAAATTATAGCTTACATCTCCTTTGATTAAACATTAGACAAAAAGAAGAGTTTTTCCTATTTTGAGAGACGATGTTCACGTGACCCATTCTTACGGTGTATATATTTTTTAACTCGTTCAAAATGACAGAGTATGCAGCAACATTGAATATGGCAATGGATGTTTATAGAGCTTGTAAATCAAGATACGATCTAAATAAACCTTTTGATCACTTAATGAATATATTCTTAAGATTTATCAATTTTACATTGTAGTAAGATCAAAAGAGATTTTAATATTATTTTTATATTTTATTTGACGGTTAATCGTTAATAATTATAAACATAACTAAATATGCTATCCAGTAATTAACATTTATTGGTCTTGCGCTCTGTCGATACTTTTACTTTGGACATTCTTTATTCAAACTTCTTATGACGTCTTTTCGCTACGTCCGTTGAAGGTGTAGTGATTGGTTTTTTTTTTAAAGTATTTTGGGAACATGTTTTATGTAAGATTTCAAGGTGACCTGTAATTATTCATATTTTTTGTCATTTCTCTTAAATGGATGGTTGTCTCGTATGCAATAATACCCTTTTAGTTATATAGCTCCTAACGATTATAAGTATTCACACATTCCTAGATTTCTAATGTTTTGGTTTGAGGCTTTAATTAAAAAGAAAAAACGTTTCGGACGCACGAAATTAATAACGTTCTATTTTCACACACTTATATTTTTTTTAATCAATTACAGCTGCAACTTCCCATACAAATCTTATTGTGAGTGATCCTTGTTGGAAAGAAATGAATGTTTTCAATAAAGGCTATTTGATAACTGTATTTCAGGAATATCGGTTTGTTATTTCAGGTGACAAGATGAAACTGCTTATCACAACTGTGTCTCTTCTTCATTTTCTTGTAGCGGTGTTTGGAAAGAGTGAAAAAACATGTAAGATTTCGTGCTTTGATTGCATTCATAATTTGTTTTAGTTCTTATTCTACACAGTTTGTTTCAGCTATAAATGATAATTAGGGAACATTCGCTGCTTTTTTTTCTTTTTTTTTGTATTCGTGATATGAAAAATAAACCTAAATTGATACGAAGTTGACAATGCGAAACAAATAAAGTCACTGGCTATATTTATAGTTTCATTTAACTTTCGGTTTGATAACCTGCAACGATAAACTCAAAGTAACAATTGCATAATACTGCTACTGTTAAAAAAAGTAAAATAACAAAAATACCGAATTCCGAGGAAAATTCAAAACAGAAATTCCCTAATCAAATGGCAAAATCAAAAACTCATACACATTAAACGAATGGATAACAACTGTTATATTCCTGACTTGGTAATTTATGTTTAAAAGAAAATAAAGCATGTCCATATTATAATTGTAACTGTATCATTCAGATACGTTTGGAAAAGACTGTTCTGTGTCCATTGAGCATGTAGATGAAGACAAATCAATAACAGTTGTATACAATGGACCAGATAATCTACACAGTTGGTGTGATTACATGTCTTTTATCGGGAGAGATGACGGCTATCTGAATGAATATGAGATCTGTATAACACCGGAGGTGTACGACGACCCTGATTGTGCAGTAGAGTTAACTTACAGGGAGGATTATGATGGTACACCATTGAAGGTATTTGTTAAATAAGATCAAAACTATCCCTGCATGATTTCATATTCATACATATAATTAGTCTCATCAATTCAGTTTCAGGAAGAAGTCTCAAAGAAAGCAATAATAAACTGTCATGCTGTTTCTATTCTACAGTCTCGTTCGGAAAGTAACGTGACCATATATATCGTTGTCTGGTCACGTTACTTTCCGAGACTTCAAGCATAACTTAAAATGACAAGCCAAGCAGCATTTTTATCAAAATACCGAAATATCAATAAAGAAACTTCATTTCAAATCTCAAATGTAGCCCAACAATGTTGAATATGCAAATATGGGATTGCAAATGATTGTTATACTCAGCGGAATTTAAACCAATACCTCTATGTCAAGTTCTTTACTAACGTTCACTAGGCTATATCAAAATCTATATTTCGACGTGAGTCGATTAATGCATATTTCGTCGGTTTTACCTTAGGTTGCATAAACACATGATGGATTGTGGCATGTAGAGAGAAAACAGATGATTTGTTTTTATCTGTCGTAAAGGATTATAGAACTTACCATACAGTCATATCAATATTTGTTATTTGTGGTGATAGCCCGGAATAATCCTAGATCGTGTGTTGTAAAGTTGACTTATATTTAGAAACATAAAATAACATACAAAAGATGCTACGATAACACGAGTTAATATCCTGCTATGGGAAGGACAAATATTTGCAACCACCAATTTGCAGATTTGTTTTGCTGTATTGTATAAAAAGTATAATAACAAAAAAAACGAACACCAAGAAAAATTCAATGTGGAAAGTCCCTTATCAAATGGCAAAATCAAATGCTGAAACACATCAAACGAATGGAAAATAACTGTCATACTCCTGACTTGGTATAGGCATTTCCTTATGTAGAAAATGGTGGATTAAACCTTGTTTTATAGCTAGCTAAACCTCTCACTTGTATGACAGTCGCATAAAATTCAATACAAAAAATAACAAACAGACATAATAGGTAAAAATGTCAAAAATCTGAATCACTATAAAAATAAACAACTATGACAACAAAGAAAACAAAATGGCATATAGACAAAGCATATAAGCAAAAATGAAAGACAATGATACAAACAATGACTATAGCAAAATAACACAATGGCGGGATGTATGAATACCGAGCCACGCCAAAAGGATATTACCAAAAGAATGGACTAAACAGTAAAGGTCAATAATATGCAAAGACAAATAAAAGAACACTATAACACATAATTAAGATGATAAACAATGTCAGTACTAGAATCAATACTTCAAGACAATCATGTATTATTTGTGAAGTTGATAGGGAATATTTATCAACAAGGTCTTGGTATCTTCCGATGAACTTTTTTAGAAAAAGGACGAGACGTTCTTTGGCATAACCCTGGTTTATCAACTTTGTGTTCAGACACTGATGACGTTTTGTAAAGTGTGAATAGCAGCTACAAGCTCTTGAATACCGAACGAGTTGTGAAATGTATATCCAATATGCAGGTGAAGTTGGCATATTTCTGCTAAGGTGGGATATTATATCAACCTTTATGACAGACAAAAAACAGCTGATCGGCAAGGTGTTCAATCTACATGTAACAAAACATCAGGTTCTGTGTTACAACCGTAAATGAAACCGACGAGCAAAGGATTTACTCTGCTGACGAAAGCCTTATTTTTTTTTTCTAAAGCAAAGTTGGCTTGAACACTGGACACAGATCAGGCGGAGTTATCACAATGTCACAGAGTTCAAAGCCCACTGAGGGAAAACACAAATTTCCTATCACAAATATGCAGATTTAACATTATTGGGCTTAATTCGGACATATATTTCCGATTTTCTTGTTTCAATGCACAAACACTTGATTGGTTCAATTAAGCATCATTTTATGCCCAGTTTTATGTTTTCAAAGTGATATGTAATGTATGCATAGGCTTACTTTGTTTACAAAGATTTCATCGCATTGATTTATTCATATTTTCATGTGATGTTTTTTTTTTTAGAAATATACATGTTATGACAAACCGACAACGAAATATTGTGGAGAACAAGACGCATATATGTATATATATCTAACCCCCAAAAGTCCTAGTAATCTTCAGAATGTTCAAGTGAAACTGAAAATTGAAGCTGTAATGACATATAATTGTAAGTTATACAATTGCAAACTTGAACTACGCAAAAAGTCCTAGTAATCTTCAGAATTTTCAAGTGAAACTGAAAATTGAAGCTGTAATGACATATAATTGTAAGTTATACAATTGCAAACTTGAACTACGCAATTTCCTTAATTACGTTATAATGTTATAATTGCAAGTTGAAGTTATTCTAAATGTCGTCCTTCGCTGACGTTATTTCATATTTTCATGTGATGTTTTTTTTTTTAGAAATATACATGTTATGACAAACCGACAACGAAATATTGTGGAGAACAAGACGCATATATGTATATCTATCTAACCCCCAAAAGTCCTAGTAATCTTCAGAATGTTCAAGTGAAACTGAAAATTGAAGCTGTAATGACATATAATTGTAAGTTATACAATTGCAAACTTGAACTACGCAATTTCCTTAATTACGTTATAATGTTATAATTGCAAGTTGAAGTTATTCTAAATGTCGTCCTTCGCTGACGTTATTTCATTATAACACTCATTAAGACTGTTTATATTATTCTTAGCTATATTTTTGGTAGAACAGTTTGTTTTGGATTTTTCATCTTCTTCTTCTATGACGCAATAATTAAGGAGTGAAAATATAGTTTAACCATCAGTGCACATCATATATGCTTATTTATTTCTAAAATTGGAAACACAAGATTGTATATGTACTTGAATACGTGACCTAACAAAATACCCAAATCCATCTAGATTATCAGATCAAATTATACATATTTAAGAACATCCTTATATGGTAGAGTGTTTAACATTAATATTTATTTTCTTTCAGAAAAAAATATTAATAAGTAGTTTTATTATATGTATTTTAAGAGTTCATCAATTCTTCATTGTTAATTTTGAAGAGGTGGGATTCTGGCGACTTTACCTCAAACTGTATTGGAATTCACTATTTGTAAATCCAATTTAATATAAAATGGTTAAAGATTTCAGAAAGATGTTATACCAATGTCTAATATGATCAGGAGATTTGAAAAATCGATCTCCAACAAAATTTTAGTGATTCAACAAAAAAAGAAATTGATTTTTTAATTTTGCTTTTAATTTATGGTCAAACCCGAGGGTTTGACCCAGCTTCAACTCTGTTATTTTTAAAACTAATAAACACAATTGAAATATCTGATTGTTCAATCTTCAGTTGTTAAGTAGGCATGAAATTATGTATAACTGTAGACTTATCTGGTAACAACTCAAATAACTTGTTTTCAGACTATACAACCATCGGAATAATAATAGGTAGCGTTATTGGTGGTATTTTGGTGATAAGTGTAGTTATTGGAGTAATATTATGTATCACTTGTAGAGGACGAAGATCGCCTGGACAGGTCATGAACCCGGGTACTGGAGGTAAGATTTATTTATAAATGATAGTCGTTATTGGAATTTTTATTTTGTATAAAATTCATTACTTCAATCTGATTGTAGACATTGTCTAAAATGTTAAAAAATTTCAATATAGTTTTAATTAACCATGGACATAAAATAACGTTGTAGCTACAATTTACTTTGACTTGTTTTTTTGTCATTCAGTATCAACGTCGATAACTGTCTCTCTATCCTTTTTGTGAATCTTAAATTGTGTACATTTACTTTTTTGCATTTTAGTAAGGATGGGACAATATCAGTCACCTAATGCATCACAACCAGCAGGAAACTATGCACCACCACTAACAGGAAGCTATCCCACTCAACCAACAGGAAGTCATCCAACATAACAAACCGGAAATGATCATACTCCACCGGCGCCTGTGTTTGCTGGCTACACATACAATACTCCTCCGCCAGCATACAGTACAGGTTCAAAAACGTGAATCGATATGAAAATATCTTTTTATTCTGAGTATGAAATCCATTTTATATTCTTTAAATGAAATGTCTATCTATGTGATAGTGATTATTTTCATCTTGATTTAAAAATAAGATTGAATTTTTCTTTAAATAAATTTGACTCTATCTTACTTATTTTACAAATTGTCGGATTTCATGTCGACGAAATACGCCATGTTCAATGTTATGACCTTTCTTCTTATTTGTGACTAAGTGTGCAAAACCTATATGGTCACGGTCATATTTTTTCAGTAACAGAATCAAATTGTGAAACTTTGGAACATTTGAGTATTGAAGAGTCTAAATAATACACTTCAAAGATTTCTGTTTATATAAACCCTAAAGTCAAAATGCATTGTTGTTGAAATACTTGATAAAATAATGCAATGTATTTATAAAACGTTGTTTATGTATACACTATTTATAATATTTACTTTTATTTAGGGAGGAGTTATGTAGAAGCAAATTTAATCTAAATAGAGTTTATGCGATGCGATCTTATTAAAAATAATGATTTTTTTTTATTAATTGATTATGTACATTGACTGTTTTTTATTTATTTGTGAACATTAAATTTCATATCTTTATCTCAAAACTTATATCTTTTAATTATTTTTAAGTGAATGCAATTTTTACACACTTTTTTTGCATGCATCGTGTGAATGTTGTTTTCTGTCAAAAGAACGCCAGTGAGGTGAAACGATAGATTCATTTCAGAATTCTAGAAATCAGCAGCTGTAAAAAATGGTGATAAGATTGATATAACGTATTTCGAAAATGTATGTAGATCAAATACTTATCTAGTTATTTCTGTAAAAATGATGCATGTATATGAGCACTCACATTCAGCGTTAGACTTTATATCTTCGACGCTAGACATATATACATCTTCAAGCACTTGACTTTACATTTCCTGCGCTAGACCTTTTGATTTAGAATAAGATTTCTCTATGAATTTCATTTTGCTAAAATCAAAAAGTACGCTGATTAAGATGTGAACTTGTATAAAGATTGGTGAATTTTTATTTTGAAAAATATGTGATAATATGCAAAAAGATATTAATGATATAATATAGAAAGTGAAAACGACAACCGGAATGTGATGTGTGTTTTTAACCGACAAAGAATCAGATTCACCTCAGGCTAAATATGGCCTTCAATTTCAACTTTATTATATAATGTCAAAATAGCCATAATTTGGTCCTTATACGGGTCATTTTCAAATGTCTTGCTACTAGGTCAAACAAAAATCTCTACATAATAGAACATTCTACACTTCAAAGTCAAAGTCAGCACATTTTTATTGTCAAAAAACGTTCATTTTGAGCTTTTATGGAACCTAAAAGCTTGAAAAAACCCTTGGCCGCAACCTTGGATCTTAACTGTCCAATATCTAAAAGTTGTCGATGATGACATTGAATCCATAGACACAAAAACCTTTTGGATCAGAGGTGGCAGACAAAGTAAATTATGTCAAAACCTGATGGTAATTTTTGAAAATTTGACAAAAACTTATGTTACAACACAAATAACGCGTACTTTTAAGAGGTCATTACTTCGTCATTTTTAATGTGATGTGCCGAAAAGAAGCTATTTTGTATTAATAGTATTATCACAACTATTTCATGTAAAATTTGTATTAATCAGGCCTTAAAAGAAACATCAAAATATTAGGGCCAATTTTAACCCTTCGTGAACATACTCCAAATTTACGTCAAGATAATTCAATAAACCACCCGTAAATATATCATAGACAAATAAAACGAAATTATTACAATGAAATTACCCAACAAATACAAATAATACAATAACTGGACCCTAGAATCTTCACATAAGCAAAATGGCACACCAAACCAACTTTTCCATAATATAACATACGAATTTTTTTAAGTGGCGTGAAGCTTATGTAATATAGATGGTTTTTCATGATAATGCAAAAAGCAATAAACAGTAAACGTTCAATCATACATGCATAAAAAAATATTTTGACTAAACTGTTTTAAGTTGTAACCTTATACTAATGTCCAAGGACATTTGATGGAAAAGAAAGAATGTACTTGATATATAAATTCATGACACAATACTATTACGCGCACATGTAGAAAAAAAAATGCTAACAAAAAGCCTTTTGTTGCTGATTTTCATCTCAAGGCCACAGTGAGGCCATGGTGCAAAACCACTCACTCCAATGCAAGTTCAAGATAACGACTCAACAAATCAAGATACATTTATAATAACTTGGCAGGAAATGACACCAGAATTTTCAGAATAATAACATGCAATGATCTCTTTCTTAAAGTCATATGAAACTTATAATTTAAAAAAAGGCCTTATAGGAACAGAATATGTATAAAAGAGAGAATACATATTGATCCCGGTTAGAGTTCATTATCAAGAACGAACATATTTTTATTTCGTAACATGTATTTTAAATACGAAATTCGAAGAGGACACAGTTAACTTCAAAGGTAAGAAAAGAAATGAGACAATATTCAAAAATCTTTCGGTTGTAAAAAATAATCAGACCCAATAACAACTGTAAAATCAGTCATCATGATTAAACTATATTTTAAATATCAAGGTGGGCACCAATACTTCAGCCATTTTATTCATTTTAAAGTTTTCTGTTTTAAGATTGACCACGGTTTAATTTCTAAATCAATATGTTTCTCTGTGACACATGAAGAAGGTAATGTTATTTACTGTTAAAGAGGTAACACACAACAAATTCATTGAAGAAAAACTATACATTTTTTTTCAAAACCAATAACCAATTGATATAGCCTCATTTAGAATTAAAAGATGTAAAGACAAGCAAATATAGATCAGATCACACTATTTGTAAACGAAAATGGAAAATGTAAAATAAATACCGAAAAGTGTATTGTAGTAAAATGTAATAAACAAAAGTATACTTTGAGCGACGGATTGCGGAAGATAAAGCAAAGAGTTAACATCACGTACGCTCGGACCAAACGTTTTGGGAGCAAAATAAATATAACATCTTTCGGTTGGCCTTAATTAGGACACCCAATGTCGTCTATGGTAAGCTTTAAGGGTTTACCGAATTATGATTTAGTTCAATTCATAATTTGAAATTTCACAATAAAAATAAATTATTTAAATCCTATCAGTTCCAAAGTATTGCCCACTAAGTGACAGCTGATCTTAATCAATTTAACACAAATGATTAAACGCATCACTCCAAATGGAGACTACCTCTCTGCTTCTGCGTTCAGATTGCATAGAATTACAGATTTTACATAAACTCTGCTTAATATGAATTGTTTCGGCCAAGAAAATAACCTCTTTGGGAAATACTGAATAACATGTTAGAAAGTTAAAAGGATTTGTGGGGGGACGGAGCCATTTTTATTTATGGCCATAAGCTTGACCACGATTTTTTTTTCAGCGATCCATTGATATTAATCAAATAATGCTGGCAACATTTTCTTTTTTTTCTTCAACTAGAAGACTACATCTTTCCTTGTGTTCGTTTATATTACAATCGTCATAAAATTACATTGCAAGAAAATAGGTTCTCTACTCGTTTAGTTTGTTTACTAAATAAGTATATCATTTGTATTTAATTTTACATATTGTCAAATATGTGTCAAAATAGCTAAATTTAATTCATGTGTATTCTTTTGAATTTAAAGGTAAAAACTAACGAATCATGACAACATACAATAGATATTTTCTCTATCATATCATTGGATACGTGATCCATACTGTTGTGACGATCTGTTTAATGAATACTTAAATATTACTGAAAAACAGGCAATTTTGTTAGAGAAAGATGCATTCCACCTAGAAAGTTTACATTTGAATAAACAAATGAAAAAACTGAGACATATTTAAGATTGGAAGTAACACATCCTATATCAAAGATAATTTATCCAGACTTTTTTTTTGTGTTGGTTTATTCGAAAATGTATGTAATTTCTATATTCATACCTGTACTTAAATAAAAAGAGTTTTCAGATTTCAATCAGTTATTAGTCAAAAAAATATTCAAAGTTACGTTTCCAAGCTTAGTAAAGATAATGTCAATTAAAATCTTAGCTTTAACCCTAAAACGACAAAAGTCTATTGGCTCTTTTAAAAATTTGTATGTAGATCAGCATGTAGATATTTGTTTTCATCTAATCAAGCTTGCTCATTTTTGAGTGCCATACTGTGGTCTATATTTGCTTAATTCCACGTCATTTGGACTCTGATAGGTAGATGTTTCATTGGCAATCATACCACATATCATTGTCTTTATATAGAAAAAACTTCGAGATCTTGAATCACACTTGACCAGGAGACATTTAATTCATATATTATACAATTATTGACTTTTGATGAGGTTGATACAATGATTTGTCAACCCCAGAGATATGACATTCACCGAGGTCAACTGATATCAAAAGTCAACGTATTACTTTTTTATCCATCTCCAATTTCTAGTATTTGCTCAAGATATCTAACTGCTCCTCTTATACTAAATATAGTATATGATTTAGCAGTTGATAAACTATTATATGTTGAAATATTAAATAAGATTTATCTAAAAGAAAAATAACATTGAAAAAAAGAAGAATCATAATAAGAATGTGCGTGACGTAATAAGCCTAGTCGTACGTTATTGACGTTACATAGGGAAAAAATCTATTTATAGGTACGACGTTAGCTGCTCCAAATCTTATAGTAACCTCTCATGATTTTTCATTTTTCATGAATATTATATATTAAGCAAAGGGCGTTGAGTTATAGCCCCTTATTGATGGAAGTGTCTTATATCCGCTCATGAGATTATTAGAATTGTTACATTTCCATAGGAGTATTTTCTTTAAAAAAATTGTGTGTGTGGAATATAATTCATGATCAGACTGTAAGTGAACGTACATTTTTCTACTTGCTCACGGAGATTGCTTTTGCATCTTGTTCAAAATTATCTTTACATATCTGTAAAACAACTCACAACACAACATCTACTCACAACACTATATCTAGAGTACTGTTGTATTCACCACCGGGCGAACGGTTCATCGAAGTTGGACTTTGGACTCTTACTCATTTAAGTGCCTACCGATAATGAATGTCAAAGATCAGATTAGTCGTTTTGATCTGCCGCATGGGGAACAATAAAAACGTTTATCTGTTGAAAAACTTATAAAGGATAGACATCTTAGTAAGATTCGGTCACTATCTATGGCAGAGCTTCGAGCTTTTAATAAGCATTTCCATAAAAATATTATGATAAATGAGACGAAAACTTTATTACCAGACTTTAGTGATAGTATTATATCAGAGGTCAGTCACTACGTATCGAACGCATTAAGCAACGAGAGTCAAAGGGTCTTTGGTGTATTGAAACGTAGTCGCAAGTAAGCTCCAATATCATCCAAATTGAGCCGAGAACAAGACAATGCTAGTGCTGTACCTAAGCTAGTCACGATAGCTAATGATGACCTAGATGATCAAATACATAATGAACTATCTGACTCGTTGGTTAATCTTTGTCTCACTCAAAACCAACCGATAGACAAATGCGAAAACTTTCTTTTTCTTATCCGCTAGTTTTTTATAACTAAACACGACATTTACAATGAAAATCAGTACCGATCAAGATTTAATCATTATTCTTTTTTGCCTTTGGAAATGTTCTCTGGCATCCTTTCAGTTGCTTAAGCGTTTTACATTTGCACTAATCGGCATCTAATTTTCGCAACAAAAACCAAGGCGCCCACATTTCATTTGCGCCAATTTACAATGATAACATGTAATGTCACTTCCGTCTGCCATCAGCCCAAACAACTAACCAATGAAGCGGATAATATTTGTAGGACTCAAATCTATGGTGGGTTCCAGATCTATGGCAGATTCCAAATCTATGGTAAATATGACGTCATGCTATCCCATATCTATGGCAGATTTTTTATAATCCTAATCTATGGCTAGTTTTGTCATTTCCTAATCTATGGCGGTTTTTTGTTGTTTCCAAATCTATGGCAGATTTGTGCAAATGGAAAACAATGCAGTACATATACGATCAATGACTTGTCTTAAAGAAGTGGAAATGTCTATAAACATGTGTGAAATAAACATTCCATAATAGTCAACCAAATCGTGATGGCAACCAAAAAACTTCAAATACTTAATACAGACTTCAAATACTTAATACAGACTTCAAAATTGAAATGATGTGCCCCGTAAAATAAGCATTTTCTAATCTGTGCATGGTACCTGTTTAACCTATCCATTAAACCAACAAGTGAGTCCCTTAACACACAAGAAGGCAGTTTTTTTTTTAAATTAAAAAAAAATGAACATTTTGAGTTTTCACACAATATTAGTTTAAAGTTTAAACATATTTTATTTGCTGAATTAAAGCAAAATTGATTAGACACAAGTAAATCATACTTATGAAGTCTTCTCCATTATGTAAGTGTACCGGTATACATAATATTTATTTCATCCTTAGTACATCTTTTTTATTTGACGACGATTTAAATCAAATTGGTATCCAGTAATTTTATCTTTCACCTTATAAATTTTTCCAGCCGTAGACGGTAAAATATTTACTATGCATGTAACTCTTTTCCTAAAATATCCGGTAGTGAAAACAGCGGTGCGCTTATTCATATCGGGATTCGGCCGGTACAGGACTCTCTTGCGGATAATAGGTCACATCTTCTTTTAAACAATCCGCAAATTGTTGTAGAGGGAAATACCTTCATCTGGAATGGTGTTCAAATTAATGGGTTTCGCCATTGTTTGCGGCGACGATGTAAAAAGTGAAATCACAAAAATACTGAACTGAAAATTCAAATATGGCGTTACTCAATTGTAACTTTATATGGTACTCTTGTTCCCGGAAAATTACGCAATTACAAGATCTGCCATAGATTTGGAGAAAAAAAAAATCTGCCATAGATTTGATTTGTTTGACGTTTGTAACGTCACATTTGCCATAGATTAGGAATCTGCCATAGATTTGGAACTCGCTATAGATTTGAGTCCTACATATTCAAATAAAAATGTTTATATTTTGACGCAAATGAAAAATCTTTTTGACGCACATGAAAGCTAACTTTTTTTATGTAAATGTAATACGCCAATCGCATATTGTATAAATATTGTGGCTTTTTACTGCAGAAATGAAGACTCTTATCATATTGGTGATCTGCAGCACTCTACCACTACGCCAGGCATCAGAGCAGACAGAATGTAAGCTCAAACAAGGATGTACATGTTACCGATGTGAATCCCTACTTTGATGGTTTATCTGTCTTTTAAATAATTGCAAAGAAACCCTTATATCACATTTTTGATAACATGGCAATTTGCCGCATTTTAAGTACATGATGATGGGAGTTTTTAACGACCTTGACTGGCTATACAGCCCTCGCACGGTCGGCTATAAGTACATAAGGAGTAAAATAACAAAAATACCGAAAATTCAAATCTAAAAGTCCCTAAT